AACAAAATTATGTATTGCTCTTCTTGAAAATGATTTTGTAAACTATCCTTGCCTTACACTCGCATGTGCAATCTAGTATCTAACACGTGTTATCACTCAGCTTCTATGGTAAAATTAAAAGCATTTCTTCTTCATCATTACCTCGACAGCTCAGAGTGGGCCCTGGCCTTCTCCAGGCATCTCTGCTTTTGGCAACTGTTTTCCAGCTTTCGACTTTTAGAATGGTTAGGTCATTTTCAACCGAATCGATCCATCTCATCGGAGACCTACACCTAGGTCCGTTCCTATGACCTTTGTCAGAAAGAATTTCTTTACAACATCGAACTTCATGCCTTCTGGCCAGATGACGAGCCTATTTAAGCCTCCGTAGTTTGAACAATTTTACTACATCAGGTTGTTTATAAATCTTGTATAGCTTAAAATTAAATCTTCTACTGCAATATCTATTCATGTGGACCCCATCAAGTATGCAACGCAATATCCTTTTCTCAAAAATCAAAGCTTCCTCATCACGGAAAGTCAGCGCGCTGTCTTTAGCTCATAACGGAAAGTCTTTAGCTGCATGGTCATGAAAACATCTATTTGTAGCAGACGAAAAGTATTTATTTAATTTAATTTCAGTGTCAATGTTTTGAAAAAATTTGAATGTCATTAGATAATTTTCTGTACAATTGTTGATCTTTTTTTGTTGAACTTCCTCAAGCAATATATGAGTGCAAGGCTGTCTATTACCTCTACGATAAGTAGATGATTTTCGGAACAAGTGCTGATCTATCTTGTTGAACTTGCTAAAACAACATATCAGTATGAGGCTGTCTATTATCTCAACGTATGGTAATTAGATAATTTTCTCAACAAGTGCTAATCTTTCTTGCTGAACTTCCTCAAGCAACATATCAGTTCGAGGTTGTCTGTTATCTCAAAGTACAGTAATTGGATAATTTTCAGGAAAACTTATCTTCCTTGTAGAATATTTTCAAACAACGTATCAAGGCAAGACTGTCTTCTACGTAATTTTTTTTTATCTTTTAAAAAACCCTTACAAAATGTGAAGCCATATAATAATGTGAGACCGTTTTACAATGGGCCAAAATGATTAGAATTAATTTTGAAGCATTAGTTTTGAACATCGTTTTCCAAAAAGATAAATTAAACAGAAGAAGAATTTCCAATGTAAGAAATTTTATAATTTTTACTTACCAGTATTATTGGCATTCTTACAGCATTAATCTCTGACTGAAGAGAAAGCGCGTTCAAGATATTAGACCGGATACTTGGACCATCTTCATTGATATTCTGCAGCACATCTTTATCTACGAAATATATAATATGCAATGCATAATTAAGAGAAACTGACCTTTTTCTTAAAATATTAAATAACTGGTACGATTTTATTTTGAGCTAAAATATGCTTATTTTGACTATGATATTTCTTTTCCATTTGCCAGTTGAAAATGAAGCTGATTGGTGAAAATAATTTAACCTTTAAAGGTTAAATTATTTAAATTATTTACAAAAATTATATAATCGTCAAAATTATTTAACCTTTTGTTTTAAGATAAAGTTCAATGGTAATTGAATGACTAAAACGACAGCATCAATATCATAAATATATACGGGCCCACCAGCGGCCGAGCGGTAAAGACGCTGAACACTGGTAGTTCGGTCTGAGGTTCGAATCCCGCGAACGGGCTGGCTGCATGGGCGTTTTCGTGGTTTTCCCATGGTAACGTGTATACGAGCCAGTTTCCCTTAGAAAGTCCTCCACGAAAGGCATCCCTCCCTTTAGGCAGATAGCCCTCGTGTGCTTTGCCATAATTAAATACACCAACCAACACCAACACCATAAATATATACGATTACTAGCAATAATTACAGCTGTGATACTATGTTTCAGTGCTCGAAATTTTAGATATATTTCCATTTCTTATTTTATGTAATAATAGTACCTACACTCAAAGATGTAGTTTTTCAAATTTTAATGAAGCTTGATTAAATGGAACATATTCTCCCATTCTATTTTGGTTCAATGCCCCTTTACAAAGTTTCGTTTGTTCAACGCGCTCTCTACCCTTCCAACACAAGGCACGCTAGATGTATTTTGAATGCAATGTGAAAGTACTTATCCGAAGATGCATACAAACTTTTGGATATTTGTTTCACTTGCACTGCATCAAATTACTAATAAAAACTCATCTCTCAGAACGAAAATAGAAAAGTAAATTTTCAAACCTTTTATAATTGACCTGCAAAATATATACAGATACTTGCCACATTACGCGCTGTAGAACATTTCAGGAGAGTATATTAATTTGAGAGCTCTAAATGTCACTGCAAATATGGATTTGGAATTATATTTTTTAGAATAGTAAATGAATGGTTTCTAAATCCGGATCCCTTGGAACAGAAAAATGGATTAAGTGCATAGAAGTTGGTGACACTTGTATGCACCAACAAACTAACCTTTCATACAAGTTATTTGCACAACTTGTATGAAGGTATGGTGCTACTTTGGTAGACGGTTGCACGGATGATTTTTCTTTTGGCGAGTAATACACTTATGTAAACCCATTGCACCGATACACAACGTGTTATTATGCCTTTCTTCTATACGGAATGCAACAGTTGCAAATTTAATCTATTTTTAAACATTATTTATGGCTGTTAATATTAAAATAAATTTAATTTTGCATTTCTTTTTTAAAATGATTTTATTATGTATGTTATTTAAATAATTTTAATTCTAGACGTGAGTATCAGCTCTCTGATTGGTTATAGAATATTTGTGCATTAATGAGCTGTAATCAGCTCCTGATATTGGAAAATTTGTGCATTACCGCGCCATTTTAAAATTAATTCATATCTTCGAATTCCTTCAAAAATGTCTCATTCAAAGATGATGTTGTTTTTGATAGTACCAGAATTTTGGTTTCGGATCAAAAAATTGTCCTTTAGACCTTATTTTCGCCAGCTGGCTTTCCTAATCAAATATTTATTTATAAATTCTTACAAGGGTTAGAGGAAATTTATTTTAAATTTTTAAAGGAAACCTTCGCTAATTGCTTCTTCAATGAAGTGCGAAAATGTATATCACAGATGAAGATCGTTAGCCGATTTTGTGGACGGCCATATATGGTACTGAGGTCAACGGCCGTGGGATATGATATTGTAACGGTAAAAAATGTTGGATTAGAAATAACCGCCTGTTTTACCGGTAAGGAAATTATTAGACATTTTTTACCGACATTTTTTGCCTCCCTTTTTACCGAAAATAAACTAATTGCTGTCATTTTAGCTCTAGTGTACGAAGCGTTCTTATTTACTTATTTTAAAGTATTTGAATTTAAGTAATATTTAAATTCTTTTAAACGTTGGTATGATGGTTTTTAATTCGATATTCAGCTTAAGTAATATTTTAATTCAATTAAAGGTTGGCGCAATGTTTTTATAGCGGTGTTTTTATTCTATTTCACTGCTATAAGAAAGTAATAATTTAACCTTACTTTAGTATTTTATACTCTTATTTAGTAGTAGTATTTATACTATTATTTAAATGTATTTATTTACATCTTAAAAACGACATTTTCAACAAAAAATTATCCTTACTTTTAACGATATTTTTTTTTTTTAAAGTTCGAATCTTTACTATGCGTAAAACAGCGTTTTTCAGATGGCTGATGATTGTAAAAATCGCGCCAACAATTGCGCCAACGTAAATCGCCAAAAATCCGTGCAACCGTCAACCAAAGTAGCAGCAGGTAGATTGACATACCTTATTATGGTCCTTTCGTAAACGCTTGATTATATTAATATTTGTATAATGAAGTGAATGTTTAAATGTTTGTTTCAAAAATATCTAATCAACCAAATTTTCCAAGCGTTTTTATGGTCCACTTGCTTCTCAACACGTCCTTACTACCCTTCGGACAAGTAACGCCCACACAAATCTCCTCAGCACCTACTAGTCGGTCTTTAACAGCCTGAAAACCTGTTTATTTTCACGCAATATACTTCTCTTATGCACATGGAAGACTTAATACACACACATGTACTCGTGTTGTATACGAGGTTGCAGCCGTTAAACCGAGGCAATATTCTGCGTTACAGTCGTTAAACCGAGGTAGTACTTGATGTCGCAGCCGTTAAAACCAGGTATGCAGCCGTTAAACCGAGGTATGCAGCCGTTAAACCGAGGTAGCACTCGGTATTGCAGTCGTTAAACCGAAGTATCACTGGGTGTTGCAACCGAGGTTGCAGTCATTAGAGGCATTCGGTCCCAGGCAGTCGAGGTTTCACCATTAAAGCTCAAGCGTGAGCTGTTAAAGGCCTTTCATGCTGGGAGTGCATCTGAATTAACGGGGTTGGTTCCATGTGTCGAGTAGCTCCGCTGGTGTCCGCCGATAACATCGTGGCAAAAACATCGCGGATGAAAACGTCGCGGAGAAAACAACGCAAGGTGAAAACGTCGTGCTACAAAACATCGTGGGAGAAAACATCGCAAAGAGAAAACATCGCAGTTTTAAAACATCGTGGTACAAAACATCGTCGTCGAAAATAAAGCAGTTCAAAAACCTTCGCATTTTAAAAACATCGTCGTCGAAACATCGTGATAAAAAATAATCTACAATCATCGCATGACGATAACATCCCAGATATGCTTTTTCAGCTTTAATAACTGTAAATGGAGATATGGTTCCCATAAGGATGTGAGCGCAAGATGTAAAGAAGGATAATTTTTCTTTCACAGTTTTTTATGACTATAAATTTTTGTTGAAAAAGTAAGAAGGAAACTTAAGCGAGAAAATTAAATGCAACTTATAGATTACTTTTCATAAAAAAATTACCAGTAAAAAACTTTATAAAAATTATTATTTATGGTCTTTGTTAGTTAACATGTCGGTTAAAATTCTATTGATGCTATAAGTTGCATTAATTTTCTATGCTTGAGTTTCCTTCGTATTTTCTCAGCAAAATTTATTAGTTAATAAAAAATATGAAAGTAAAAATTATCCTTCTTTCCTCTTGCGCTCACGAATCATTATGGGAATACCATTAACAGTTTTAAAAGCCTGAAAAAAGCATGTCTGCGATGTTATCGTCATGCATGATTTGTAGATACTTTATTTTTACCGCGAATTTTCGACGACGATGTTTTTACTGCGAAGTTTTTGAACTGCTTTATTTTCGACGACGATGTTTTGTACCCGATTTTTAGGACGCAATGTGATTTTTCCCCCGCTGTTTGTTTTTCTTTCCGCGATGTTTTCGGTCCGCTCCGCTATAGTGAAGTTCAGATTTTTCAACTGAAAAAAACTGATTTGCTCGATCAGCGGTATAAGTGTGCCAGATGGCTCCTTAGTCAGGTGAATCCTAGTATAAAGTCCTTTACTTCCATGCTGGGAAATTGCGCTGGTTATCATTAATTTAAAAAAAATCACAAAATGACGAATGCTCAAAGTTAAATGTAGAATTTAATGAAACTGACCCACAATATACAACACATACTAACGTATAAAATAATACCAAAAGAAATTGCAGACATTTATGGCGTTATAGAAACTAGCATATGTATAAAATGAAAAAACGGACTTGTCAGTTTGGTATAGGAAAATTATCTTCAGTATGGAGTATGATCTTCCCTGGAAGCAATACAACACATACAGCGATGTGCGATGCTATCAATTATGCATTCTCTTTGCTCTGTAGGAAGTGAGAGTCATTGCTCTTGTAAAGCAGCTGCAAGTGTGGCAGTGGTCTGAAAAGGAGGTCTGAGAGCAGATATATGTCCTTCTAAAGCATCTCAAACATGCTCGAAAGGATTCAGGTCCGGTGATCGAGCTGACAACTCCGAATTGTTTGCTGCTGAAGATAATAATCCACGATGCGAGCCCTGTACTGTCTAGCGTTGTCGTCCTGTAGCAGGAAATTATCAGCTATTGCCCCAGCATAAGGGCACACATAAGCATCAAGAATGTCGTCTTTATAGGTCTGAGCATTCATGGTTCCACGTTTAAAAACTATGCGTCCACCCAAAGATATACCATTCCAAAAACAGACACTACTTTCTCCGTATGCGCCTCTTTTGTGGATGTTTGATGGATGATAACGAGTTTCAGGTTCTCTCCAAATCAAATGACGCATATATCGCTTTGGAGGCTAAACCTGGACTCATCCGTAAAGATAACAGCCGTCCATTGATCAGCTGTTTAGTGGACATGTTGACATGCCCACCTCAAACGTTCCCTTCTATGACATGACGTGAGCGGCATGCAAATGGCTGGTTCCCTGGCCTAAAGACCTTTTTGTGAAGTTGGTTAACGCACGGTTGACGTTGACACCAATTACTCAGGGGCTGCAGCAAGGGATGATCTGAGTTGAGTCGGAGTTGAGGTTCTGTTTCTTCGTCCGCATAACAACAAATGTCAGCCACCAGCACTCGTCTTAGCGGTTGGCCATCCTTGGCTGAACCTCCTGGATGTCAAATCTGTTGTTAGAAATTGTTGCCAAGGTTTATGAATCACAGAAGGACTCACAATTATCCATCTGGCTACGTTTATCTGACGTTGTTTTGCCTCTAGTCTCTCAGTAGCTCTCCATCGCATTTCTTCGGCTAGATGATGCCTGGAGGTCATTGTTACAAATTGGCTATCCCATATTTCTTATCTCAGAATCACAGCGAAATTTGCAGGCTTACTCTGAAACATGCAATTGTATGCTCCTCGTAGATGACGTATTTCGATTGCAGTGCCACTAATTTGCATACTGCAGTTTTACTCAGCATTTCTTATCTGATAACATATTCAAATTTTATACAGATTGGCTTATTTTTGAACGAGTTATCGCTAATTTGGGGATTTTTTTCCTTTATATTTGGAAACCAATTTCTTTAAAAAATTTAATTTTCAACAAATAACAAAATCTAACTTTTAATACGGTCTCCCGGTTCCCATACTTATATTTGGGAAAGTTTTATAATCGTTATGAAAAAAATTAAAATACAAGAAGTACTCCCGTACGACAAAAATTGATCGGTATACTTAATTTCAAAATTTGCAATTTTTTTATGTCATTTTCAACTTTCTTGAGAGATCGGTTAACTTAGAATAATTTGAGAAAATAAATTTAAATCAAGTGCAGCAAAAAATGTGTATAATTTAATAGGCCGTCCACACCAATTTGTTTTAATTGCACCTAAGTTAACCATGATTTTGAGTTAACTGCGGATATCTTTTTCAGTATTATATCCATTAGTTAGGAGATGACTATGTAACAAATGTTTGCTAAGAAGTTAACATGTTATAAGGCTGATCGCATATTTTCGTAGAGTAAGTATATTGAATCAACTTCATAAAAGAGAAATGAGAAGAAATAAATAAAACATCATCTTATAAAACCAGCAACAGTATTTTATCTTAAAAATTCCATCTTAATGAAAATAGCTAGAGTTTTACAAGTGTTAGAAATATGTACTTTAATTACTTGAAAAATAAAATATTACAATTTACCTGCATTGAAGCCTAGGGTAACCCAGACGTAGTCATCATCATTTCTGTAGCACTGCTGAATGTTGAATACTCTCCTACGAGCTCTGATCTGTGTACTGAATCCAAAGAAGTTGAAAGTCAATACTTCCACATTCTGTGACAAAAAAAAAGGAAAGAAAATAACTCATCCAGTCTTAACTTGAATAAATAATTAGCACACGAAGTTGTTGAAGGCGCCGTCTACTATTTCAGATATAGAGAAGAGGGAAGAAATAATAGCACTTACATATTAACACAACTACCTTGGCGCAATTTGGCAACTTTTTAAGGGAGAAAAACTATGATGACATATTCATTTATGTCATCATACTTATCATATTTTTATTTTTATATTTCATTTCACTTTCTTTCATTCTATTTGGTAACAGTTACATATCGGCTGCAAGTTGAAGATCTTGGCAACGTTTTTAGAAAGATCGACTAGCCATCGATATTTATCGTTAAGTCAACAAGCATTATTAGCACAAGAAAACACACTTTAGCAATTCGAAATGCATATTTAATTATTAAATAAAGTTTCGTTGTGTACATGGGTTCTTCCCATGTACACAACGATCTGTTCCGGTCTGTTCAACGATCTGATCACGATGATCCAAGAATGGTTAAACACTGGAATATACAAACGCATACAAAAATGATGAAGAATCTTATGCGCATCTTTGTGAGAGTTTGGCACATTCTCAAAATTTGGCGATTTCTGTTCAAGTTGGTTGCGATAACGCGTAAGTACCAATGCTTTAGGATTGGCAGTTAGTTTCTGAACAGAGAGTCCGCATTAATTATGAAATTTAAACAACATAAATAAAAGACAGGCAGAAAGAAAGATAACTGTTTTGGAAGCTAAAAACAAAATTAACTTAAATTTGGACAATACGGAATTTAAGATTTGAGGGCAGCCGCAAATCTGGAGCTGTACTCCTTTGCTCAGTGGGCTTAGGTGATAATCAGGAACTACAAAAGAGGAACATTTATTTAAAACAAGAAAACTTTTGCGAGAACTTCAGTCTCTTGTCTAAACAGTCTAAACATTTGTTTAGACTGCAATCACTTTCACTAAAGTATAGTCATAAAAATTATGAAAAAACCTTAAAAGTTCTTGAAAATAAAAAGAGATTTGATAAGCATGAAAAACCCAAATCGATGAAATGATGACGTGTATAGCGTAAGAGTTTTGCGTGAGGTACGCTCAAAACATTTTAATCCCAGCAGAGCTGTTGATAAATTCTTTAAAAGCTTTGGTGGCCAAGTGGCTGCTGTTTCTTTACTTCATGAGGAAATGGATAGTCAAATGTTATCTTCAATAGCTCCCAAGTTACCATTCAAATACATTCTTCTGTACTTCTTGAATCTAAAAAAATTGTTTACGATCACTAGATGATTCAGGACTATCTTTGCGCAGTAAGCATTACTTTACAATGTAGAGAGTCAATAGAGCTTAAATCGTGCCACAGCCCACTGAAGCTCGGCTCCGGCACTTCTCAGTTTCTGACGTAAATCGTAATTCTAGTCTCAACGCACCACTGCCCTAAATAAAAAGGGCTCCAGTGCATCTTTTATGCAAGTGAAATACAGTTTCAGCAGACAATTTTATTTTAAAAATAAACATGCCTTAAAAATCGATTATAACTTCTGAATGCAGGTTTGTCTTTTTTTAGAGAGCAAAAGCTTTGTCGGGGGTTAAGATTTTTAAGGAAAGAAAAGCCTCCACACAGATGTCAAAGCTTATTCTCTACCTAGTACAATGAATTTATGAAAACGTTAAAATCTTTTTCCTCGAAAGTACTAAAAGTAATTACCTCGGTCGTGTACGTCCGGTCCATTTCTAGCCGTGGATTTCGATCCAGATAGGAAAAAAGTGGATTTTTAGCCACGTCCAACGCTAAAGACCTCTTATTTCAGAGCTCCCGCAGACCTTTATAACTATATAACCAAACATTTTCATCTCCAGCGCGCAAAACTGTGTATCGGAAATTCTAAAGATATACTTATTTTAAAATTATTTTGCGATATTGCTGTTGAATTGAAGGTTTAAATGCAAAGAACATGATATTTAATAAATAAAGTGTAAGGATCTTAAGTTTTACTAACGTTTATTTTATTTTAAATCTTTACTATCACTTCTTATTTTCTACTTCCGGCCAGAATTATAAACGTTAAAGTATTTATGCAAAGTTTGTCTGGCGAACGCCAAGTATTTAAGTTGCGGCTTTTTGCCAAGCGAGAGAGAGGAAGCAGTTGAGTCGAAGCAGGCCGCTTACCTTAGAGTTTTACTCAGTTGCTGTTGCCTTCCAGCCAGAGGTTTAATCCTCTTGATAATTTTAAACGTATTGTAGTGTTCACAGTTCTCTGTACTACATACGGCTTCCTGTTAATATAAGGCCAATCTTCCACGTTTATTATTTTAAAGTTAAATTAGAGTTTAGTTTATTTTTATATTTTACGTTAGACCCCAAGTAGCGGGTCTGTGTATTCCGAAGTACGGAAATTATTGTAAATAGAGAAAAATAAAGGGTTTTGTATACCCTTCTTGTGTATCCTGTCTACTTCCCACAGTTTTGACCATAGCTTTAGTAAGCTCTCTGTTCCGAGTCAGGTTCTTGCATGTTCCCGAAGAAGGTTAAACGGAACATTGAACCTGATAAAAGGTAGCACACAAAACGTTAAAAAAAAGCTCCTTTGGGCGTAATGTAAAATCTGAGAGCTTTCAGATAGTATTAGTTTTGATTGTAGTTTTTTAACTGTTTTAATTATTAGTTATTTTATTATTTTAATAGTTATTTTTTTATTTTTTTCCTCTTCCTGTCGGCCTTTCATATGGCTCCGGAATTTCTTATATTAAATATTAAGCCCTGGTTACATCGATGCTGGGATGCGAAAACTGTGCAACGCCCTTGTCGGGATTCGAACTCCGGACCTCCCGAATTCGCATCAGGTGTGCTTCCAGTTAGACCACGAAGGAAATAAGGAAGAAAGGAGAAAGAGGAAGAAAATAGCTTATAAAAATAGATCCCCAAACCACTGCGACGGTACTGAACACGACATGGCAGACGGTTTGGCACAGGTTGATTCTGAGTTTCTTCAGCTGGACTATGTTGTCCATCATTAGACTATGTTGTCTATCAGTAGACTATGTTGTCCAGCATAAGTATACCGGCCAACTTTTTTTGAAGGACTGGCGGAAAGTCAGAAATGTCGCGTGGGGGAAGTCCTGAAGACTCGGCTTAACGCTCTTAGAAATGTGAACGTAGCGAATTTTCCTCTCAGAATCTTGTTTTCAGTTCTCTCTTGCTCTTGCAAACTACTTGCCAAAAGATCTTTACGAGTTCGGTCTAGCGGACACATCAGTGTGCCCATTGTCTGGCCAAGCTGACACATAGGTAAAGGGTAAAGGTAAAAGTATGGAGGACACCAGAGATGTACCATAGGTCAACTGGTAATGCCTTCCCATACTAACTCTTAAACAAGGGGGGGGAATTGCAAGTTTTATAGGAATTAACATAGACTGAAGCTTTCCAAAAGGTCTAGAGTGTGCCTATTATGGTACATCGTGCAATCCCACAGTACGCCCCGCATCCAGTATTTATTAAAAATAATTATGTAGAACATAAGTAGATTACAAAATAGTCGGAATACAATTTGAGATTCACAAGATAAATTGAACATCTGATTTAGTGCAATTTATCTTGTGAATCTCAAATTGTATTCCGACTATTTTGTAATCTACTTATGTCCTTCTGGCCCTTTTCTTAATGGCGTTGCAGATAGTTATTCCACGCAGAATGTTGACATTTTGCTTGTTTCTACTTTACTGGGTGGCCTTAATGATTAATGGCCTAGGCTGAAAAGCTGAGGCCCGTCATAAGATAAAAAAATAATGTAGAGAAAACTAAAAAAAAACTGCTCGCTTCACTTACATATTTTGGATACTCAAATGTATTGTCATGACAAAAACTATAATACCTGCTTTCCTTGTTTTTAAAGGCCATTCAGACATATTCATAAGTAATCACCGAAGAATTTATATTATTCATAAAGAAAATATTCGAGTTTTGCAGTATCACGTACCTTAATTGCATGTGTAGGTTTTAAATACTATAAGCGCACCGTCATATCTAGAAAATTAAAATCTTATAGTTTTACAACGTTATTCAATATGAAATTAATAATATAAGATTTAATTGTTCGAATACCTTTCCTTCTCTTCCTCTAAAAATCATCTGGATTTGAGTAAGGGCATTCTTCACTGAATCTTTATTCCTTTCGACTTCAGTATCCTAAATCAAAAACAGTAACATTCGTTATACTTATGCACACACACACACGTGCATGTATATATATATATATAAAGAGAGAGAGAGAGAGATACGTATGTATATATGCGCAGAGATAATTCAGAGATAAATGAAAGAAAGCACAGATAAGAGAAATTTCCGATTATGATCACCTAATGCTAGAAAATGAAGATGACCTAATGAGGGAAAATGTTTAAGGTCACTAATGCTACCTGTAAACTAGAAGTTAAAATTTTTTTAAACCTGAGATATAAACCAAAATTTTGTTATGAAAACAAAAAATGTAAGATGTGGGGCAAACAATTAAATGAAAGAATGATAAAAAATAAAGGAATAGTAATAAACTATTATTCATCCTTTGTTTTCCTCACTGTTTCAAACAGAACCTTTCGAGGGGTAAGTATTTAAAACACTAAACCGGGACGATTAATGAGTGCCGAATAACATGTTTCGTTCTTCTCGACATTATATAACTCGAACTGTTGTAAACTGATTTTCGTGTCATGTACGAGGGCAATCCCCCCCCAAAAAAAGGTCTCCTATTTTTTGGGGACGTAGAGAAAGTTTTAATACGGTTGTTGGCAACACTGTTGTGAGTGGTGCCTTCTCCGCTACCACGTAAGCACGCAGGCGCTTCGCTAGGATGCTCAGTCTTGGCTTGGCAGCCATTCGAAATGGAGCTCCCGATAAACGTTACCGCCAAGTGCGAAGTCGTGCATGGATGTCAACAACATTCGCAAGTGGTGTAGAGAGTTTACAGCGGTCATACTCAATTCATGACAAAGAAGGAGGGAGGCCGTCAATTGCCGACGAGACAATCACGAAGTTGAGGAACTCATGCGTAAAGATCGGAGGATCACTCTGGATGCTCTCTGCATTTTGTCCTGAGGTTTCCACAAGCACCATCCACGGATTTTAACGGAAAAGTTGCATATCGGAAGGCGTGTTCAAGATGGGTGCCGCATATGCTGACAGAAGACCACAAACGGCAACGGGTTGACATTTTGTCTGGACGACGGTTCTGTTCCATGTGAGATGAAGGTGAGGTTCAACGCTTCCTGAAAGCATGGCGGCAAGCTGGTATGACATGGGCATTGTAAAATGCACCGCGTCTACAAAATACATCGACTGAAAATGGCGATTATGTTGAAAATAAAGCATTCACAATCTTTAAAGTGATGTAGCAATTATAGAAAATAAACGGTTCTCTGTATATCTAAAAATATAGGAGACCTTTTTTTTGGGGATTGCCCTCGTATATGTGCGTGGGTAAGATATGACGAAATAATGACGAAAAATATGACGAAAATTTAATAACAAATTAAACTTAACTGGAATAAATTGGCAAGAGTCCTCTAAAGTACTAATTTTAATCCTAATACCTTCAGCGCATCTGTACTCTGTCACTCTTTCCCTGCTGTAACAGCAATTCGAAAACTCTTGCCCAGTCGCTGCGCAGCAAAGCGCTCTGAGATTATAAATATTCCGGCCACGATATTACGCATTCTTTTTGGCTCTTTGCTCTGCCTTGAATAATCCACGTCTCTCAGCTTTTTAGCATTCTCCATTGTTTGAAAAAATATAACTGCGTATTTTAAAATTGTGGGGTGCAGTTTGACCCATTATGCCGTGACATGTAATAAGACATAGCATGCAATATTACACATTGAAAAGAATCGTCAAGTAATAAAGATATGTGTGATTTTTCCAAGATTTCTCAAACATCTTTTACGCAACAAATTCAAGCTATCTTCGATCACCGCCCCCGCCGCTAAAGGCATGAAATTAAGTGAATGATTCTACTCAATTCTCTCTTCGGACCAATTTCTTAACATACTACGTAGATATATATAGATATAATATATATATATATAGAATAGATTGACTAAGACATTGATTGCATTCCTTTTCCTATGTATTTTTGTATTTTTTATATTTCACATACTGTAGTTTTCGGGAATTCTTCGTTTGGTGAAAACATTTTTCTAGTAATTGGGAATTTTAGATTTTGTTGGTATTGAATTTCATTTCTTTTGCGTCTTTGTGAATTTGGTTTTAAATTTCTTACTTTTTGTCTATAATTGATTAAAGAATATATATATTAATCAATATAATTTATTATCTAATAGATTATTTAGTATATTATCTCCTTTGACAAAAGTTGTTAGAATTTTATTGAAATGAAGTATCTCATTAGCATATATAAAATTGAATCTTGAACATATTTAAAGTGGAAACATTGAAAAGGTATAATTTAAGGTGAAAATGCAACCAACAAACTAAGTAATTATTGTTATTGACCGAAAATTAGTGGACTTTTCAAGGACTTCCGATCAATTAACAATAATTAATAAATGCGAAAGTGTTTCGTCTTTTTCTTATATCTATGTATCTATATATCTATCTATCTATCTATCTCTATATATAGTATCGAATTGATTTTTTATGCGTTTTCACACAAATATCCCAATTCCTTAATCTATTAAAATAATAAAAAAGTGGTTCTATAATACGTTGAATTAGTCTTCAAAAAATTAAATTTACATGACGTAAATTACAACTGGATAAGCAAAGACGTTCATTTCAAGCGTCATACAGAACTTGAATACATTTAAGAAACAATTTTTTAAATTTAACGATTCTTCAAACGGAACTAGTAGGTATCTATTTTTATATGTTCATATATCTCTTACATAAAAATTATTTTTTAGAAATCTGCATTAAAATGTCATCATCTAACATTTATTAGACCAAAAGGGCGTTAGACCGAATGGACTATTAATTTCGAAACAGGATTTCTCACCTTCGCTATAAACGGCAAATCACTTTGCAAATTGTAGCGGCCTATACTGTCACCCTTACTGTTATCCTTAAAGAAATTAAATAATGAAGAATCTGCATGTATGTATTATGTATGTTCCTCGCACTGTAAAAAACCAGCCGTACCTAAAGCTATTAAATTTTGTATAACGTTGTCCTCAACCGGAACATGTGCACCTGGAAGCTCGGATTTTGAATTTCGAATTTTATATTTCATAGTTTGTAAAACTTTAATGAATTTTTGATTAACAAACTCAACTATTTGAAAGCGAGCAGTCGCAACACTGTATGGAATAAAATATTTTTATCGCGAGACTGTCGGAAATTCTAAAGACACGCTGCTTTTAAATATTTTGTAATTTTACTGTTGAATTTAATATGGCGTAAGTGCGAAGAAAATGGTGCTTAATAATAAAGCTAGCAGCAACAGCAAACTGTTAGACTGCGAGCTCATCGAAAGAGTAAAAAAACTTTAAAAATTTTGGGTCATCGTTAAAATCAGAGTTCTTTCAGATTTTTTTATGTTATTTTTTATTCATTGTCTCATGAAAAAATGTTTTTCTTGTCGTATGTTTTGCCTACAGGTCCTGTATATAAAGTAAGTTTTTGACCAAAATTGTCCCAATTTGAAAGGTAAGCTTATTTATTAAAATGGAGACAGATTTATAGTAATTACTGCATTTAAGATGAACTGAAAACAGCAAAAACATAAAACTATAATTCACTTATATAGACGCGCATAATGCTTATTAAGCCTTTAACAATTCTTACTTCCTCGTATTTCTTCATTATACTATTTTGATAACTATTCATACTTACCACTAAATATGAATGTGTGATAATAGCTTTTTTAATTTGTTCTGGATCTCCATTTTTTTTATCTAGTACATAATTATCGACGGTTTCTTCAAAAATATTCACATCTAGTCCTCTGATTTTGCCCTGCAAGTAAAGTTTTTTGTTTAAAAGATTATAATAACAAATAAGCAAAAAATAACAAAACAAGGTGATCATTTAATGGGAGATTTAGAATATAACTTATTAAAAATAAAACTATTAACAACGAACATTATTTTATATAATAGGGCAGATATCAATTAGAACTATGGACACACACACACACACACACACACACACACACAAAAAAAAAAAAATCTTTCTAAACATTGGAACTTTCATTCTGATATAATAAATTTTATCCGTCACTTCTTTCCGTGGTCGAAAATTTTTTAAATTTTCTAAAATTTCCCCATGCTTAATATGTTTATATATTATGAAGAGTGTTCCAACAAAAGCGTTGAATTTAATATGCACAAAAGATACTTCATTCTTAGAAAATTTAAAATATATTTACAACAGGTAAATATTCCGATTTAAGAAAGTTGTGATATAAGGAATTTTTCCCCTCCTTCCAGCATGCCTTCATTGTGTAGCGGTTAGTACACTGGGCGCGTATTCGAGAGGTCCAAGTTCGAATGCTGGCGAGGGCATTGCTCATTTTTCAAGTCTCCATCATAAAAAAAAACCTAATGTCTCTAGAGTGGCGCCCGAACTAAAAGGTGGTCCATGATGAGCCAACAGGAGTGGGCGATTGGATCCCCTAACCCCTAGTCGCCCTTTATAAGGGGGAGTATATAAGGTATTTTCTCTTCGTGGTGTAAAAGCATGTCTTCATGGTGTAACGGCTGGCACACTTGGCGTGTATTCGAGAGGTCCGGGTTCGAGTCCCGGAGAGGGCATTGCCCAGTTTTCATATTTCCAGCATCAGAAAAACCTAATGTCTCTACAGTGTTTGATTTTACTCGTTAACAATGACATTTGATCACTGTCAGACCTTTTGGCAGCTTCGCTGCAGCATACTCGGCATGGAAGGGGAAAAAGGGGGGGACAGGTACACAAAAGAACAGCGAGTGTTTATTGTGAAAATTCATTGCAAGTATGGCGACTGTTACGCACACACTGTTAGAAAGCTTCGTGTAATCTTTGGACGTGAAAGTGCACGTAAGACCAGTTCGAAGATTGATAAAGAAATTTGAGGACAAGGTTTGACAACAGACATTAAATCTTCATGCTAGTCTGTCTAGCCAGTCTGTTGAAAACATCGCTATTTTGCGTGACAGTGTTGTTTCAAGTCAAAAATAAAATCTGAACTTAAACAATGAAAAATTTAAAGAGGAAACTGAATGTGTCCTTAGCCACCTCGGTAGGCATATACATGAAAACTTGTTTACGAATTCCATCGAGAAAGTGTGGCGCTGCAGACCAAGCTGTAGAGGACATAGTCCACGCATTATTTTTCATTCTTTAAATCGGAACACTTACTTGCTGTATGTTAAAGTAGTTTCCATTTTCTCAAAATAAAATATTTTATTGGACATATTCAATGCGGCACTTTTGTTAGAACGCACTTTATATAACACATTTTCAATATGTTACATAAATAATAACTGATGTCAAAGAATTAATTTTCATTAATAGTCTTACATTAATAGTTTTATGTTGAAGATTATATAAGGGTTCATAGGGCATTTTAAACATGCATTACAAATTTATTACGCAACTGATACTAAATTTTATTCTAATGAAATAAATGTAACTTATTAAGCCTATTTTACAAACTTTCAGTTCGTATGGCTTCGATAAACATCTGTTCTTCAGTAGAAGGATTTACTTGTACATACGCGAAGGTGGCTGGTGCCATAACTGAATGAAAACTGTACCACCTTTTTCAACAAGACATTTGTACGGCTCATTATCAAACAAGTCTTTTTCAAAAAACATTTGCGACAGTATCTCAGACAAAATCTGTGACTAAGACAGTCCATTTGCTAGAACATTTCAATGAAAGGTGGACAGGATGTACTAGACGAGATGAAGAGAAGGTAGCCACCCAGTCTTCTTAACCCTATGTCACGTTTCCTTTTGGTGATTCCTAAAAAATATTATCCTTGTGCTTCCGTTCTTCCTTTTCATTCTTCTCTCCAGGATGCATAATTCTTAACAGCACATCAGTACGACAACCGAGGAAAGGCTTCCAGTACGAGCTAATGAGCTTCTACTGACTGAATATTTAAAAGCTGTTGTTTTTGATTTTATTTCGTCTTTGTTTTCCAGTGTCCATAAGTGTTAACATTCCTTTCAAATCCTTTCAATCAGATTGCACAATTACTTATATTTGATCTAATTTCACACTCATAATTTTCGCAAGAAATTCCACGACTTTTTAATTATTTTGCAGAGGGAAAAAAACTTTCCACCAGCTCGGTTGCGGTACCAATGTGCACTTACGAACTATGCTTCCGGGATCTTAGCAGTATTTGATGCTGGAGCATTTTCGACCGTGATCGGTATGCACTAGGTATTGGTTGTGTAAATCGCTTGTTATGAATTTTTAAAATGTTTATGGACTTATGAATAACCTTGTATTATGGTAGAAATAGACATTATAGTGTTTAAAAAATTATAAAAGTAGAACAAATGGGAACAATGGAGTGCGATTTTAACGGAAAGGAATCGGAAAGCATGAAGTTTTTGCTGGGATCCAAAATTTAATTTAACCGCTCACTAATAGACAGCTCTGTATTACATCGATAGTAACGATCACAATCGGACTAACACTGAAAAAGAATTATGTACAAGCAAATGGTTATAAATTATAAAATTAATTGTTTGGTGGTTCGATAATTAACTCATTTGCATTAAGTGATTCTGAAAACTCATTCTAGTAGCGAGTTGTAAGTGTAAACAAGAATTGATAGGAAAACTCTCTGAAATTAAGCGGATGGCTGGGCCACTATTTTGCCTTGTTCGATTGGCATTACTTCGACAAGGCATGCTTGAAGGAACAGCCAAAAAAAATATCGAATTCCAGTACTTAAAACAGTCTACTTTTTAAGTAATTTTGATTGACATTTCTGGCGTATATGATTTACGTTATACGTCCCAATGGCAATCATTTGAATGACGTGTCGAGGTCTCCACATAGAACAAATTTCAACAATTTATCGAACGTTATGGCCTTTACGGTGTTAGATTTCAGATAGCCAACAGCATATTTAATGCCAGAATTTAATTAATCGAATGAAGAAAACTAGAATCCTTCTTAGATTATTTTGTACTTACCTTAGACATATAGTACAATTCATCATTGGGGAAAAGAATACTTGGGTCAGTTAAAGACACAGATCCTCCGTTCCTTGGCAACTCGAACTTCGGAACAAAACTTTTTTCTCGTGTAATTGAACAGTTGCCGGTTTCATCATCAAACTGGTAAGCGTATCCTGAAGAGAAATTTTATTTGAATTCAAATCAATTTCCGTATTAGAATATTATAATACAGTATTAAGTTACACTGAATCCATGATAGTACAGAATGAAAATAGTCTTCCACGATGAACTTATTAAATTATATAATAAACTTAATAATTTTAATCCAAATGTATTAGCGTAATAATGTACGTCTTTAAAGGTTTATCGTAGACTTCTAGCTACAGTTTAAGTGAATCAAATAAACGAGGCTGTTTGACTACAGCATTTTTGACTACAGCATTTTGGGGGGAGGGGCGGTGACATAGTTCAGTGAAAATGCACAAACTTTAAATTTCATTGCAGGCCTTCAACGAAGAAATTCCAGCTAGCAAAATGCTTCTTTCATTGCTACAAAAGCTATTTATATAATATGCAACATATGCTCTGATAAAAATAGCGGAATTAACAATCTTCACATAATTTCATCCAAAAAAACAAAATATGCAAATTCGCAGTTTCTCAGGGGGCATGTAATATTTGAATTGTGTTAGATAAACATATTCAAATTCCATTATTTCATATGAATTCGTATTAAAATGTGTATGTACACTCTGCGAAAGAAAAAGTGTGGGGGGGACAATTCTGTATATTCCGCCCTACTAGCCGAATGATGAAATTTAATTTGCGTCTTTCATGCTGGAAAGCGCGTCTAAGGATATATATTAGCCTTATATACAGCATTGTTCTAACGTAGGTATTCTGACACAAAATCGGATTTTTTTTCCTGAAATGATATACCAATTTTTTCCCCATACTGAGATTCTACGCCTCAAATTATGCATAAATATTAAATTTCGTAAAATTTTTTTGAGAAACTAACTATAATTCAGGAAAAAAAAAAATCCGATTTTGTGTCAGAATACCTACGTTAGAACAATGCTGTATATAATAAGCTATACTTACTTTTCCCTTTCCTTATGCACGAGCAGAAAAAAAGGGTGCATCGTTCATTTCTTCAAATAATTTTAACAAAGTACGTAAAACACATTTGTTGTTATAATCGCTTATAACCAATATAAGTACATCTTGGGAAATTTTGAATAAGAAACTCATTTTCGCAGGTATGCCTAGAAATGTATCTACTTCAAGGTGATAGCAAAAACTCTATATGTTATTAATAAAACTTTTTTTCGAAAAATTTATAAAATTATTAAAAATACAAACTTCAAAAATAAATCAGAAAATATCTGCGAATTTTATTTGGATTGAACCAAATTTCGAATTGTGAAAAAAAGGAATCAATTAAGTTTAATAAAAAAATAAAGATTAATAAATATACAGCAAATTCAATTGACATTGAGGAGCTAAGAGCTAATTTTTCAAAAACTATTAGAACGATTTTTACAAAACGTTACACTTATTCATAACTTGAGTCGTAGAATCGAAATATAGAAAAAAATCGGTATGTCAACTAACAAAAGTCCGATTTTGTTTCAAAATATATATGTTAATGTTATGTATAAATCTAATATACGTCATAACAATCCCAAGTCGCGCTTTCGAGATATGAAAAACCGCAAATTAAATTTCGTCAGTTGGCCTAGTAGAACGGGAGATATAGAACTGTCTCTTTTTGTGTGTGTATGTGCGCATAAAACGAATTAAAAGTTACCTTTTCGAAACTAGTATTCAAAGATTTAGGCTTAGCTATCTTTAGTATTATACAATGTATATGATAAAAATTTAATTGATGATATCTCTGACAGTTTTTATTGTGTACTAAGGGATTTAATTTTTTTAAATTATATATTTTTTATTTTTATTTATTCATTTTTTATACTTTATTTTATCTTTTAGGGCTATGAAAATTGTACTTCTTATTGGCCTACTTTCTAGGAAATTTTATAAAATTTAAGTTTTGCATATTTTTATTAAACTAGTTTAATAGTGGGATATAATTTTAACTGTGAACTCACTAGAACTTGTTCGGAATACTGATACGCAGTCGCATGGACCTCCGACCTAAGGTTCTACACCAATCAGAGTTATATGTCCATGCGACGGAAAAGAATCTACCATCTACCGCCAGCGGCATTCACTGAATCAATGATAGTAATATTACAATGCTAAATTGACAATGTCATCTATACAATAATTGTTACATAATAATCCGTATGAAAAATAAATATACGATCAATTAATAATTACATTGTCATGGATAGGATCTATGTTGTGGAGAGTGGAACTTGTATATTAACCAGTTTTTAAACCTATGTCTTCTTCAATACGTCATAACTTCATCCTCTTATCAGTTACACACCTAATGATGTGTGTCCGTATTATTTTTGCAGTTATCCACAGAGTAAGCCAGTCACATCAGTTCAGGCAATTGATAGTTCCATAGCCCAAAGTATATGATGTTGTGTAGGCTATTGCAGTGCAGTATTTTTGCAGTGCTGTCTTCCTGCGGAAACCTCCCTGGAAGTTTCTTAAGCCATGGTATATATACCACTAACGATACACTACATTATTTGTGGTGGTACAATTTTTGCACAAGATTGAAATCAACTTCCAAATTTAATGTAAAATACCGCCCTTTTTGGAACATAATTGGTACATGACCGGGCCTGTAATTTCAGTCCAAAGAAGCGTGTTAGCTTAAAAGGGCTATTAGTCTCAAAACGGCATTTTACGCCATTTCGCTACAAACGACGAATCACTTTTGAAATTGCTGTTACCAAATATTATAGTGCTGTATTATATTTAAAGAAATTAAATAATGAAGAACCTGCATGAATGTATGTATGTATCTCGCTCTGTGAAGAAACGGCGGTACCTAAAGCCATCATACTTGGAATAACGCAATCCTTCCACCCAAACATGGGCATCTGGAAGCCCAAATTCAGAATTTGGAATTTGTTTTATTAACTATTTCATACTTTGTAGAACTGTAACGAATTTTTGACGAACAAACTCAACGATTTCAAAGCGAGCAGTGGAAACACTGTACGGGGAAAAAAAAATAATAATCTCCAGCGCGCGAGACTGTTTGTCGGAAATTCTAAAGATGTGCTCTTTTTAAATATTTCGTGATATTGCTGTTGAATTGAATTTTATGCGGTTTAAGTGCAAAGAACATGCTATTTAATAAATAAAGGTAACACACACACACAAAAGCTCCTTTAGGCATAATATAAAATCTGAAAGCTTTCAGATTTTTTTCACAATTTGCTTTTTTTTAACGTAGTACAAAATTTAAAACGTTTAAAAACCCCTCACCTAGAACTACCGAAGTTTGGGCAAAAGCTTGGGTTAGCATAGAAGGTTAACTAATTTTTCCTTCTGACTGAAAGAGTACTGCACGTCTGCGTAGGTTCTGCTATTGTAATTTTAGCATATCTTAACTTTAACCAGTTAACTGTGGCGCTCTTGTTTAAGAGTGCGCACCGTTTTGTGTCACCAGAATCGAGCCATGGCGAGTATATTCGTCAATCACAGAGTAAGTTGCACCGGTAAGATATTGGAGGAAAAAGATGGGTTTATTTTATAAAATTGAAAATTTTATTTCTAATATTTACTTATTTGGTTAACATAAGCATTTATTACATACATATTCAACTAAAAACGCAATAAATTAAATTAAATATTATACATATAAAAGTAAGAATTTAAATTCCTGCTGTGGAGTGATATTCAGCGAAACAGGGTACTATACACAATGGGACTTTGCAAATCGAACACCAGTAACGCGATTCCTTCCTGATCTTACGTTTGTAGCAATGCGAACACCTTCGCCTACGGTTATTTTTTTTTCGATGTTCCGGATATATAATCCGGAACATGATTCCCGCCTAATTGGCTTATATTAGGTCTAAATGGCTAAGTATGTGTCGATTTATTTTTTTCAATTGGATACGTCGCAAAAGTGTCTTCAATAAATTTGAGCAAAAAGTTGATACGCGATAATGTTCCATTATTTTTTTATATAATATGAATGCATTCAGACACATAATGTCTGAGAAATATCTTTTTGTAGTACTTTTTGAGTCGTTTTCTTGCTGTGCAGTACGCTATGATAATTCCATCGCTCATGTCCACTCCACCCATTTTTTTATTATAATCAATCACTAGTTCCGGTTTCTTTGCTATTATTTTTCTTTTCTCTGTTTCTATTACGTTGTCATTATGTACAATACTTACTAAATAAACGTCCTTCTTATCTTTCCATTTCATTCACATAATTTACGCATGACGAGTGTACTCGTCAATACACAAAATCGTGACGCTTCTCCATAACGAGTATACTCGTCAATCACAGTTAACTGGTTAACATATTGGAAGCAGATCTTATTGGAAATCGTCAAGAAGTCGCAAAGTTTAGTTGTTTTCATTTTTAACTGTATTGTCTACAAGTCACGGCTAGTAAAGTTTTGTGTCAGTTTTTACCTGAGACTTACTTTATTAAAGCCGTTAGATGTAAAGGTAAATAGTTCCCCATTAATTTAATATCATAGAAGTTATAAATATTACGTAGATTTGTGCTTAATTATGGAAAATAATGATGTGTCAAAAGAAATCGAAATTTAGCTCTCACCATGTTTCATGTCAAAAATTACATGTACTGGAGCTTTGACTTCCAATTCTTCATCTGAGTTCTTTGTATCCCAAGGAGTATAATAATACGCTAAATGTTGACTGGTGATGTCTAGAGCCATCTGAAAATTTATAAGAATTAGCTGTTTTAATAATATTAATCAAAATAAGAGCTGTTCTGCAAAAGTAAAAAATTAAAAAGGAATCTGGACGTTTTATATAATGTTATCCACGTGCAAAATTATATGTAAGAAAACAATGTTTATTAGCATTATAATAATTTTGAAATTTAAATTTAAAAAAATCATGTATCACTTTTTTATTGCTGGATAAGTTATTAAACAGAACGTATTAAACGAACAGATATATACCGTATCCATAAAGTTTCTTATGCAGCCTTTATTTTTGCAATCATTGGTCATTGATATATATTTCCAAATATATAAATGTTTTAAATATCGCACATATATTCACATTTTGACATTTTTTAAAGTAAAAAATCAGTTTTTTAAAAATTACGAGATGTAACTTTTTGTACGTTTTGTACGTTCCAAGTTTGTATTCATTCTATTAAATAAATCACATAGATTTTACTCCTTTACGACAAAAATTTATGAAGATATTTAATTTTTAAATTCTGGAACTTCGTCATCTTTTACTGCTTTCCTTGAGGGGTTGGTTAAAAATATATTATTATAATTGAAGCTAAATATTTTTACCCTCTTTAATACCATTCAATGATTATCTATTGCGTAACTTTCTACAGTTATAATTTTGCGATATTTGGCAAACCGAAAACCCTTCACACAAGTAATTTATAAATTTCTTTATACTAAAAATTCATTAATAATATTGGTGCTTCCTTATTATATTATAGCGGGTTCCGAGACCGAATTGCTATTAAACCGAGATCTCGCCACGTGTTCTTATATTTTAACATCATGTTCCATTTTTGTTAGATTTTCGAATTCGCATTTTATATATATATATATATTCTTTGCTTTTTTGTGCATATGCGGTTAACAATCTTTCATTTATCGAATAAAAATGTGGATGCTATATCATTTTTTCAAGAAAGAGGACTTTCACCTGAGAAAACAAGTACGCAAAAATAGCTACAGCAGGAAACTGTAAGTTAATGACGAAACCATTTGTATATGCAATGTTAAAAAAAAACGTAATGTAAGGATCTTAAGTTTTACTAACGTTTATTTTATTTTAAATCTTTACTATCACTTCTTATTTTCTACTTCCGGCCAGAATTAAAAGCGTTAACTTATTTATGCAAAATTTGTCTGGCGAACGCCAAGTACTTAAGTTGTGGCTTTTTGCCAAGCGAGAGAGAGGAAGGAGTTAGTCGAAGCAGGCCGCTTGCCTTAGAAGTTTTACTCAGTTGCTGGTTGCCTTCCAGGCCAGAGGTTTAATCCTCTTGATAATTTTTAAACGTATTGTAGTGTTAACAGTTCTCTGTACTACATACGGCTTCCTGTTAATATAAGGCCAATCTTCCACGTTTATTATTTCAAAGTTAAGTTAGAGTTTAGTTCTATTTTTATATTCTTACGTTTAGACCACAAGTAGTGGGTCTTTGTATTCCGAAGTACGGAAATTATTGTAAATAGAGAAAAATAAAGGGTTTTGTATACCCTTCTTGTGTATCCTGTCTACTTACCACAGTTATTGAACATAGCTTTAGTAAGCTCTCTGTTCCGAGTCAGGTCCTTGCATGTTCCCAAAGAAAGTAAGACGGAACATTGAACCTGATAGTAAAAAGGTCTTCCTTGTTAGAGACTGGTTTAGTGGTGTGAGGTTTTATCTATTTACTGTGAACTAATGTGGGAATCGTGCCTCAACGAAGCACCAGATGTCGTTATCTATCACTACTCTGTAGGAACTCTCCAGGTTCCAGGATCTTCAGTTGGTTCGAGAAGTCCGAGAGAAGCTGTCTGACAGAACGCTCGCGAAGAAGCTACAACTAGACGCTTACTAGTCGCGCGTAGACGATCGGACTTGGAACTTATCTAAAGTGACCGCACGTAGGTGGTCAGCTGTGACTTTTACATCTCCATAGTGGAACCAGTGTTGATTACTCTCCTAAACATATTTAATCCATTTGTACATACTCATTCCGTTTATCTTTTCTTCTATGAACCAGTAAATAATAATAATAAAAAAAAACTGATACTTTGAATCGTGAGTGTGATCTCTGTTTGATGATAAGACGTCACCCTCACACTAATAGTTAATTTTAGGTTCAGTTACTTTTCTGTCACTTTCTTTTCACCCACGCTTTTTATGCCAGAACGTAAATGAAATATAGAGCGTTTGAGGAAGAAAGAAGTGCTGTTTAAACGATGGTTACGCAAGTTGATTTTAGAGCGTGTTTTGCCTATTTCAAGTCACGTTGTACCGTGACTTATTAACGATTTGATTCTGTGACGTTGAGTGCTTCTAGTCATTTAGTTTGTCAGGCCAGTTTTCTACAAACCAGAGCCTTTCCTGCTCGTTTAGACTATCCTGTGAGCCGTTAGGGTAATCTATTACATTTAAATTAGTTCAACATTACGTATTTGAGTTAAGCTTGTGTAAAACCAAGTTGGGTCATTGTTATATCTTATGTTCAAATAAAAGCGTCTTATACATCCTTAATCTGACATTGTGTTCTTGTATTCTCAAAATCAAAAGATAATTCTTCTATAGTCTTTTTAAAGTCTTTGGTTTATGCTCCCAGAGAATACCAGACTTTATACTGGAGCATGACCTATAAAAAGAACTAGTATGTCTCAGGAAACTTTTGCTTTTAGCTTTTTACCCTAAACGTCGCAAGGCCCGGCGGCCATGGAGGAATTTGGATTTATTGTTGACATTCTTAGAGCTGCTATGAAACTAGTAGCAACTTATATTTAAAGAAATAACCTTTTTAATTATTTGAAGAAATTGGGCACTGTTATAGCCATTTTACAAGAATGATTAGCTGTATTTGAATATGTGTTCTTATGTTGTAGGAATACCTGTCAATTTGTATAGATTGAAATTGTTTATTTGTGCTATTTATAATTGTATAATAGAAATTTATTACTTTAACTGCCATAAAAAAAATTAGTTGCAGTTTTTTTTTTATTTTTTTTATTAAACATGTATACTTGTAGTATGTTTGATTGGTAAATATTCTAACTGTAATAAAAAATTAGTTGCAGCATTTGAAACATGTGTATTTTTATGGTATGATGATTGGTATATAATATGTGCTGAATAATTGTGTATTTTATGTCTATTTTAATTGGGAATTAGTTCCTGTTTTCCATTAGACGTTTTATTTTAGAATATATGCTTTATATTGTTGGAATACCGGTCAATTTGTATTGACTGGAACTGTTTAACAAATCTGTAGTTTTGCACAATTTAGAATTGTATTGAAAAATTTAAGAATTAGTTTCCTTCTTTATTTATCATCTGGGAACCAAGTCATTATTTACAAAACATTTGCTTCTGTGGATAATAGTAAAATAGTGTACATATTACAATGAAATTCCCAAATGCAATTTCGTGATTGCCTTGTGGATAATTGCGACACAGTGTGCAAATTGCTATGGACGCACATAATGAGATGTGCAAACTGTTGAGGACACGAAGTTATGATGTTTCGAAGTGGACAAGTAGTATTTATTTGAACGCTGAACTTAACAAAAGTGAACATAGAATAGCTTACACAACATCATATACTTTGGGCTATGGAACTATCAATTGCCTGAACTGATGTGATTGGCTTACTCTGTGGATAACTGCAAAAATAATACGGTCACACATCATTAGGTGTGTAACTGATAAGAACATGAAGTTATGACGTATTGAAAAAGACATAGGTTTAAAAACTATTAATATATAAGTTTCACTCTCCACAACATAGATCCTATCCATGACAATGTAATTATTACTTGATCGTATATTTATTTTCATGCGGATTATTATGTAGCAATTATTGTATAGATGACAGTGTCAATTTAGCATTGTAATATTACTATCATTGATTCAGTGAATGCCGCTGGCCGGTGGATGGTAGATTCTTTTCCGTCGCATGGACATATAACTCTGATTGGTGTAGAACCTTAGGGCGGAGGTCTATGCGACTGCGTATCAGTTTTCTTGAGCAGTTAAATTCGCATTTTCTGCTCGTCCAGTTCAAGGAGCGCAGAAAATTACGATTGCGACGTCCGTCCGTCCTTAGAGGCTAGGCTTCTGCGTGGTATAAATGCATTGGCAAATTTGTCTTGGGTGAGTCTCGGAGCGAAAGCTACAACTTCGAGAACTTTAATAAGCAGGAATTAATTAAAGCGTATCATACAGTGAAGGACAGAGCCGAGCTCGAGTCAGAGCTAGTCAGCAAATTACAAGACAAAATTGAGGAGCTGACGGATTTTATCTTGCGGGAAGTTCAGATTTTTAATATGTTGTCCGGCAGGAGGAAGGAGGAAGAAATTATTCAAATAATTTTGCCACGACTCTTAAACCAGGCTCAAGACTACTTCCAGCTTTGTAATCCAACAGCGTTTCAAAATTTATTTAAATTAACCACAAATTTCCAAAATCGACGCGTGGCAGAAAAAAAATCGAATGACCAGGTACGCTAAGAGGGCAAAGAGCGAAGTTTTAGGCCAACGCCTCTGCAAAAACTGCAGTTTGGACCAAAGAAGAAATCTGAAAAGGAAGGAAAAAATTCAATCGGGAATAGCGGGGGCAGAAAACAAGTAAACAGAAAGCAGGGGGACAAGTTAAACTAAAATGGGATGCTGGGGAGAGGATGCAGTCACTCCAGAATAAGGAAAAACCCTCAGCAATTAAATTTACTGTAATAATAAGAAATCTGGAACTGCCAATTAGTGTAAGTTTTGTTAAATAATATCCCAGCTGAAGGTCTCATTGATACCGGAGCTCAATGCAATTTGATTTCGGAGACTTTCTTTAAATATTCTGGTGTGTATGTTACGGTGAAACACCGAAATCTGGAGAACGTCGACTTTTACCGGTGAATGTCGACTTTCAGCGGTGAAGGTCAACATTCACATAGTCTCTTGGTGTATGTCCGAAATATTTTCCAAATACTCTTATTTCTGACTTACACCGA